TAATACGATGCAATACATTTGAACACACGGTTACATAGCACCTTCTTCTATACATAGCTTTTAAAAGTTAAAATTTATTTTTTGATCCTTATTAGTGAATTATTTTTCAAATTTATATCCTGAAGTAAGCATACTAAATATATTAAATAAAAAATCCATACAACATACAAAAAAAATCCAAAAAAAACATGCAGTCGAATTGAGTACCTCCTACTTTTTTGGCTAAAAATACTTAATTTAATATATTATAGCATACGATAAGCGAACAAAACTCTCCAACGACCTTAAAATATCAATACTATTTGAACCTCAACACCGTTGACCGACCCAGTTATGACACAGTGAATTAACTCTATGCAATAATAGTTTACGTAAATCTACAGCAATCTGTGAGCAAACATTCCGTCCGAATTAGTGCGCATTGCTATTTGTTATAATGGCCATAAAAATCAAACTAACGGTTCATATACAATCCAGCGAGGTTAGTTAATAGAAAACTACATTGAAGTAATATGTACTTACGTACTAGAACAGCTATCTCAAACAAAAAATGTGCGCTACTCTGTGTTCGCGTGGTTGTTTTTTTATCATAGAATAAACATAGGTAGAATGATCCGTAGGTAATAGTAGATTGTATTGTTAAATAGGTAAATTATATCGAGAACAATATTTAAATTTTGTCATTTATTTTGTATATTATATTTGCTTATTTAAATACATAATATTATATCACAATTACATTTTAATGATATTTTTAATTGAATATTTTAAAAGGTATCTATGTCAAATATAAAAAAAACATACTAAATGTATGTTTAACAAAACTTATTAACATAACATTTAAACTAACAAAACAAATATATTTATTTAAATTAGGATAAGAGTCGTTCATAAATGCTGGGCATGCGAGAGTTAAAAATGGACGAATTTATTCCACTTTGACTTTGATGTTGAAACCTAAATATAAAATAAAAGAATAATAAGCAGATTTAAACATGAAAAATGTTGCCTAATTATAATAACTTATATATGTTTCTACAAAAAAAAATGTGTATAATAATATATTCGTCCTATACTTAAGTACACACAGAAATGGCGCATCTGAACATATTAATTTCATAATCTATATTCCATGACACGAGATGACATCTTAGGAATAATTTGTTTTATTATTAATCTATAATACTTTTTATTGATTAAATATCTTATTAACCAATGAAAAGTAATTCCTTGGTTTTTACTGACATTTCTTGAATTATTTGTGCAATATCTAAGTACACACGACGGCATATTTTTATCAAGAGATTTTTTTTAAATCCACACAACACGTGTCAACTCTACAAGCGCCTAGCGAGTGACTGATTAAAGAGCGGTGTATGCACCGCAGTTGAGTGGAACAGAGTAGCTGAATGCAGTGTCGCCTCTAGTACGTAGTACATAACAGCTCAATGGAATACTATAAGTTATATTTTTTAATAAGGGTATTTGAAAAGGACGAAGAGAGAACGAAATGTGAAATATGGGTAAATCAGGAATGTCTAGAACAGGTAAATGAAATTGTATACTTGGGGAGTGCTTTCAGCCGGGATGGAAGATGTGATTTAGATGTGGATAGGCGTGTCGCTGCCGGAAACAAAGTCAATGGTGCCCTGAATGCATTAGTAAAAAGGCAAGGCGTGGTGAAGAGTGCACGCCTTGCAATACATAATGCAGTGTTGGTACCGACTTTGTTATATGGCAGCGAAACCTGGGTAAGTCAGAAGAAGCATAAAAGCAAGTTGAATGCAGTGGAGATGCGATCTCTTCGTAAAATGTGTGGCGTTACCTTAGCCGACCGAAAGCGAAACGAAGAGATTCGCAATATGGCAGGATTGAAAGATGACCTTATCACAAAAATTGATAGGGGCGTACTCCAATGGTTTGGGCACGTTGAACGAATGAGTGAAGACCGAATGGTGAAGAAAATATATAGAGCGAAAGTAAATATTAAAAGGTGTCGAGGTAGACCGAGACTAACTTTCGAAGACCATGTGAGCATATTGCTCGAAGAGGGGAAGGTCAAGAGTACTCGGATACCTAGACGTGCATGTATGAAGAAGTTAATGAACCTGAAAGAAGCGAAAGAGGTATGTAAGGATCGTGACACTTGGCGATCTGTTCTCTCTGGCTACCCCGTTAGGGATTGTGCGTGAAGATAAGTAAGTAAGTAAGTTAGTATATTTTTTAATTTTTTTTTAATCTTAACACGTTATTTATACACCAACATATTATATATTTTATATAATATGTTGGTGCATAGATTTGGTCGCTGTACTGACGCTGTCAAGATCACGCTTTTCAAAACATATTGTGCGTCATTTTATTCTTGCCGTGGTAGCTCAGTGGTTAACGCTCACTATAAATATAACAGAACGCGAGTAACCCGGGTTCGATCTCCGCCGGCACCAATGAAATTGTTAATTGCAATTTTAAGTGCTGATTTACCACGTGCTTGGCGGTGAAGGAAAACATCGTAAGGAAACCTGCATGTCTGAGGAATAAGAAAAAAAATATTTCGAAGACATGTGAAGTTCGTCAACACGCATTTGGGCAGCGCGGCGGACACTTCCTTGCCCTAAACCCTCTCAGAAATGAGGGGAGGCCTGAGCCCAGCAGTGGGACGTATATAGGCTGTAACTTTACTTTTTTACTTTACTTTTATTCTTGCAGTCTATGGACCAACTACATCAAAAAGGCTTATACCTTAGGCCCTACGTACTCAATACAACAAGGCATTCAGGGCGCTGTTGCGCTACTGTAGCACGTCTGCGATGTTTGCACTGGCGGGTGTGGATAGTTTTGATGCAATAATCCGAAAAAAGACCGCATCTTTGCTAAACAGAGTGCGCGGCAGCGGCCACAGTGAGCTGACTGAGATTGCCGACAATGCGGACTGTCCACTGATTAAAAATATAATCTCCGGGACCATGTACTGCTTAATAATTAAATATTTAAAAAAATGTATAAATTATATTACTAACATAGATGTAAGTTTTTCTCTACTGACAATTCCTATGGATTTCAAGTTGTCCGAAATATACAATTTTTATTTATTATCATTTATTTATTTATTTATATTCTTACATTGTTGACAAACATGAAAGTGACTTAGACTTTGTGAATGGGAACGCTCAATGCATAACTCAACGTTTAAACATATTTTAAGCGTTAACGATTGTAGCAAATCAACTTGGCTAACCTTAATGGGCTAAATATCTCATTTCTGAGGATTTTGGGATAAGTAAAGACTCATCTCTCACTTCTCCCTATTCGTATTGACATACTATAGGTTTCCTGTGAAGTTTTTCTTCACAACTAAACACGTGGTATATCGTTTAAAACTGGCGAAAATCAGACTCTTTTTGTTATCTTATTTGCAATATTTAAATTTTTCTGTAATTTAATATATTTTTATCCCTTTCCTAGCTTTTATCCACGGATTTTAAGGGTACAATCATAGTATGTTAGGAAAAATAAACGTTGTGACAAAACATTTAAACTATTTAATAGTTATTTCAAACGTTTGGTAAAACAGTACAGTAAACCTACACATTTTTAACCTAGGTAGAGCCACGCTGCAGCCATATTATGGTTGGAGCAAGAATGAGTTGGCTCGATCAGAGAAGGACCACGCTCTTACAGAATACCAGCGTAAAATAGCAGCTTAATGCTGCTGTTTTTCATATGATGAGTGTAGAGAACCGGAGACCCTTTTATTGGAAACGAGGTACTCCATCTAGTCCCCAAGAGTGACAAGGCGGGTGTACCCGAGCAACCCGGGTTCGAACCCCGCCGGCACCAATAAAATTGTTGATTGCAATTTTAAGCGCTGATTTAATAACTTTCAAAAGTAGGAAGTTATAGATTTCAGTCCCATTTCGGGAATGCGAATTTTCATTAGATCTTCACGTTTTGAGGTTCTAGGAGGCCAAGCAAGTGTGTGTATGTATGTAAATAAAATTCTGTCGTAGAACCTATATACTTGTCAGAACGAATTAGCCAATCGAGATGGGTGACACGGTGTTCGAAAGTGTTCATGGAGACTGCGCTCATTAGATTTTCAAGTCAATCGGTCGAACTGTTAAAAAGTTTTCAAAAAATAAAAATCTAAAATAATTTTCTTAAAGTTTTTTCTTAATACCTTTCAAAATATTTGAATAATCAACTCGAGACATCAGAAATATTTTTTTGTACTTAAAAACTGCGTCAAATTTCGCCAAGCAATTCCAAATCGAACGACGCGTTCATAAATTATTGCCATCTAAACATCTCAAATAATCGTTTCAAGTTCAAAATTAAACAGATTTTTGAGCGCAACGCTCAGCCGGAAGTTCCAGGGATGGCCTGCATGGTCAACTGTTATTCAAATTTTTTCAACTTTATTCTGTAAGGGCGTGGGCCTTATCTGGTCAAGCCAACCCATTCGCGGTACAACCATAATGATGGTGATTGGTGATATGTACAGCTGCCCTTAGAACCTCTCAATCTTACTCAAAATCTCAGATGTCCCGGAAACGATGCTGCCACACTCAGCATTCAGCCTTGATAGATGGCTCTTTCTGGCGGACAGATCTCTGGCAAAGACTGGAGCCCTGGTTACGCTCGGTCGCTTCTTCAATACGAGCAATATTATAGTCCGCATATATTTGGAGATCTGTCTGTTCAGTTGCCTGTATGCTGTCAAATCGGTTGAAGACTGCAGCTTGATTTCCCGTCTAACAGTCATGAGATTAAGCAAGCCATGAGCCGTGTAGTGACGGTTAAGAATATCCACTACCCCATATCTTCCCGTGGGTGTCGTAATAGGTAACAGAAGGAAACAGGTAGAAGATGGGCAACAGCATCTTCCGGTTAACAGCTACTGTACATGTTGCATTTAAAGTTTAAACCAGAACATAAATATTTTATAAAAAATTCATTACAATATTTTTAAGATTCTAATAGCACATGTTTTCCGGCAGCGTTTTACAGCAAACTGGGTGGACAACTTTAACCACACTCGACTGCACCGGGGGCTGTGCCTTAACCGCAGCTGCGCTGAGCAAGCGCCGCTTCCTTCGACAACCCTGCCGCTGCATCATGAGCTGAAAGCATGGTGATTTTACAAAAGGATTGACAATAGAATTTAATTTTTTTATATTAAAGTGAAACGTTAAACAAAATTACAATCCACCTAATCATAAATTAGCCCACGGACATCTGCAACTAACTTCAATTCATTGCATTCTCACCTCTGAGAACCGAAGATGGAATGCCTCACAACCTTTTTTTATGGAATAAGGGGGCCAAGCGAGCACACAGCCCAACCGATGACAAATGGATGCTGTGACCCATAGACATCTACCTACATTTTTCTCGATTAAAAATCAAAATGCAGGATTGTCTCTACCTCCACCCTTGAAGACTAAGATGAAATGCTTCGTATTCAGTAAAAAGGGTCTTCGGTTCTCTATACTCACTCATATAATCCCTTTGAATGAGTTTTTCTGGAAATAGCCTTACAATGGGATCATACGAACTTAGAGGGTTGTATTGATGATTATAATTCTATAAAAACATACTCTTTACTGTCACGAATCATATTTTTTTCAACATACAGCCTGACTACCTGCAAATTGCAAAAAACGTAAAAAATTTGAATTTCGCAGCCTACCCGCACCGCTACCGCTTTTACCTTAAGACCGGAACACAGTATAGCGCACACTGCTGTCTGGCGACGAAAATAGGTAGGAGGGTGGTACCTACCTAGACAAGTTTTTAACGCTTCAAACGCAATTGAGGCCCGGATCTCATGCAGAAGCATGCGAAGGTGATAAAATTCTGTATTGTTCGGATGCACAGTATAAACTCTACCCAGAGCGTGCTCTTTTTTGACCACTGGCCAGCCTTCAACGTTTGCTCCTCTCTTTCTCCTTTGGAACTTTCTTTTATTCCAAACGTAGTATGCAGGTACTTCCAGGTAGAGAAATATGTTTGCAATGTTATTCACTTTACACAATCGAAAAAGGATAGGAGTGTGGTTGTTAGAAGACTATTCACTCTTTCACTCAGATCTTGCTCATTAATCATATAGAGACAGACTCGTGTGCAGAAATGGAGTCCCACAAGATAGCAAAATAGAATATAATATTTTTTATTCAAGATGAATTTTAAATGCTACTTATTTAAAATAACACACATTTTTATATTGCCTTGCAAAAATAACAATAATGACACTTTTTGAGTAACAATTTACAATAAAAAGGTTGCAGCACTAATCATAAAAAAGTAATTTTAGACGCAGCTTTGCAGCCATCACCTTATTTCCAGGGATCTTTGAATATTACTAAAAGAGTTTTGTTTATACAAAATAACTAATAATAATAATGTCCTCCAGACCGAATTTCGGTCACGGCGGCCTGCCTCAACGGAGGCTAGCCATCGGCGCAGGACAGGATTATAGTGCATAAGTGTATGCGCAAGCACAGGCGCACTCTCTATTCCCTCACTCCCATAATCCGATGGAACGGTAAACCGACACGACCGGAGAGAGATCAGGCGCAGGACCAACGGCTTTACGTACTTTCCGAGGCACGGGGGTGAGACACCGCCAACTTCCTGACTTCGGGCAGCTACTGAGAATTTCTTGACAGAAAAACTCAATAGTTGATTTTTTGGCCCGACCTGGGATTCGAACCCAGAATCTCTAGATCAGCAGTCGCACTACTGCATCCACTAGACCAACGAGCCAGTTACACAAAATGAGTACTGAGGTGATGGAATACCTAGTTACCAATAAGAAGGGTTTATGGCTATCATTACTAACCATACGATACATAGCTGTATTACTCTAAGAGATTTTGGTTTTTACACTGGAATGTCATTATTACTATTTCGAGTACTTCCCGGGTCAAGTTGACCCATTCGAACTGCTGCCATAACACAGCTGAAGCGCGGCTCTACCACATAAAAAGACTTTGTTATTTCAAAACGCTCGCCAAGTGAGAATTTAATGTTCCAAATACCGGTAAAGAACTGGTAATTATCAGTTCTGATATCGTTTGATGATCTGAATGATCCGCTAAAACCAGAACGGAAATTGAAACCTAAAAAAATGAGAACTAATAAACATCTTTTTCAGTAAACGTGTGAAACCTTAACTAACTTTTTTGATTTTATGGAGTGACACAAATTGATAGTTTCAGTAAAAAAGTGTCATTTATTTATAAATTAATAATTTTATACGTGGTAGAGCCATGCTGCAGTTATATTAGTAGTATAGTTGTAGCACGAATGGGTCGGCTCGACCGGGGGAAGGACCACGCTCTCACAGAATACCAGCGTGAAATAGTAGCTTAATGCTGCTGTATTTCGTATGGTGAGTGTAGAGAACCAGAGACCCTTTTTACTGGAAACGAGACATTCCATCTCAGTCCTCACGGGTGAAAACACATCTGCATTTTGATTTTTAATGAAGGATGGATGTAGATGTCTATAGGCCGCAGCAACCACTTACCATCAGGTGGACTGTGTGCTCGTTTGTCACCCTATTCAATAAAAAAAAAATTACTTTGTCCTATATTACAATCGAAGTAGGTAAGTTCCCCCTTTGACTTGGAACCCGAAAACACCTGGTGTTTTGGAACAAGACCTAAAAACTGATATCTTAACCGTACCGAAATATAGAACCTTTATAGATAGATATCCAGTTTTCAATCTCTCGTAACTGTTATGGTTAAATGATTACCTAATAATAGTGATGTTGATAAGGTTCTCATCGTGCGTCAACGAGACCATGCAAACTTCCTACGGGCTTCGGGCCCATTTGTATCATCTGGAGTACTGCAAAAGCAGTACACCGAATCCGAGCCGACCCCTGAACGCCAGTGAGAAAGCTTTCGCCGCAGCCGTTGCAGCAATTCTGGCTCTGGCTGTAGTTAGCACTACTCTGGATTTGACCTTATCCGATCACGCGCGTAAAGGTGAGTAAATTTCTTATTCCTAACAATTGATTTAAAAAAAATTACGGTACTGAGCCGCAAAAAGTAGCTCTAGATAACTACGTCAAATGACAGACTCTCACGGGGGTTGCGGTCGCTGTAACCACTTCATGGATTAGTTTGTGTTCGTGGTACATGCAGTATCTTTCTCATGTTTATATCAATGTTTGGAGTGAATCGATAGCAAATCAAGAACTCGTGCTGGTTACTAAAACTTATTCCGCCACAAAAGCGAAAAATACAACAAAAAACCGTTAGGTTTTTCAAAGCGCGAGACAAATGTATGTAACGTAAATTACATAACGTAAATTAGGGAACTGCCCGCCAAGATTACTGGCGGAGGGTCGCTGATAGGCATCTATTCGTACCTTGAGAATATTATTACAACTATAGATAAGTCTACATACATATAATTTACAAAATAACTGTTACCATACTATACAAAACAAACCTTAACCTAAGATACAAAATATTACAAAAATAATAAAATATTATATAAGAAAAACAATGTGTCCCCAACAATGTTATCAACGGTAATTAATAGCAAATTTTTAAAAAAGTAGCAACTAATTTGTTTGAACATCTTTTCACTCCAGTAACTCCCCGTAATCATTGCGACCCAAGGATTCCAGTAGCTAAGTAAGAAGTCTATGAATACGTTGTTATAGATAAACTCTGTAATATAAAATAATAAAAAACTGCGGTTGCCGATCCGCTCGCCAAGCGTGGCAGCTATGGCAAACATCCCCCCATGAGCAACGACACAAACAAACGGGCCCCAGTCCCCGGCGGCCCCGCTAGTCCTGGCTACGGTGGCGACCATGGTAACGTCAAGGAAGGGGGTGCTAAAAAATCTCCGGTGAAGGTTTGGTTGCCACCTGCGACGACTCGACCTGGCAAGATATAACGCACGCACCCTGAGGACTGACGATAAGATACTGAAGCTGGAAGAAGAGGTAGACAAGTTGCGCTGGCATATTATAGGATTATCCGTGGTCCGAAGTGAGGGGGAGGACACGGTAATCCTCGAGTCTGGCAACTTATTTTATCACCGGGAGGCCGACTATCTGTCCCAAGGAGGTGTCGGATTTATCGTTCACAAGTCTCTCGTAAACAACGTTGTAAAGATTGAGAGTATGTTGACGAGGGTCGCGTACCTGATACTCAGAATCACCAAACGGTATTCGCTGAAGGTCATACAGGTTTACGCACCAACATCGGCACATCCCGATGAGGAGGTGGAGGAAATGTATGAGGGTATATATGATGGAGCCATGCATTCCTCCAAAACCCACTATACGGTGTTGTTGGAAGACTTCAACGCAAACCTAGGCACAAGAGAAAGCGGTGAGCTGTAATTAGGGAAATTTAGAATAGGGCAACGGAACCCTAGGGGCCAGCTGCTGGTAGACTTTATGGAGAAAGAGGGACTCTTTATGATGAACTCTTTCTTCCACAAGCGGCCCCACAGGAAGTGGATCTGGTCGAGCCCCGACGGTTCGACAGAAATGAGATTGACTTCATTATGACGACCAGACACCAACTGTTCAGCGATCTCTCAGTGATCGCGAGGGTGAAAACTGGCAGCGATCACCGAATGGTTAGAGGCACACTGAACTTAACCGTTAAGTTGGAGAGGTCTCGTCTAATGAAGTCAACGCTCCGCCCCCTTCGTGCGCTAATCCGGGGTCCCGAAAACTTTCAGCTCGATTTACAAAACCGTTTTCAGTGCCTAGAAGACTGCAATACAGTGGACGATATGAATTACAAGCTCGTGGGAACTGTCCATGCGGTCGGAGCTAAGTTCTGCAAGACCCGCCGCGGAAGAACACAAAAACTCTGCGATCACACTCTTAATCTCATGGATGCTAGACGGGAGATGAAGCTGCAGTCATCAGCAGATTTGACAGCATACAGGCAACTGAACAGAATGATCACCAAATACATGCGGCAGGACTTACGTAACCTCAATACAGCTCGTATTGAAGAAGCGATTGAGCGGAACCAGGGCTCGAAAGAGCCAAATTTCAAAGCTGAAGACTGAATGTGACAGCATCGTTTCCCGGACACCTAAGATTTTGAATGAGATTGAGAGGTTCTATGGGCAGCTGTACACATCATCGTTGAAGCCACATGCAAGTGTGAGTAACGATCCAAGAGCAAGTCTTATCCGACACTATTCCGATGATATCCCGAACGTCAGTCTGAGCGAGATTAGAATGGCTCTCCAGCACCTTAAAAACGGCACGTCCCCGGGCGGGGATGGAATTACAGCGGAACTTCTGAAAGCGGGTGGAAAACCGGTACTTAAGGTCCTTCAGAAGCTCTTTAATTCCGTCCTCGATGGAGGCACTACTCCCAAGGCGTGGAGCGGAAGTGCAGCCGAGTGGCAGCCTCGTACCGGTAGGCGAAATGTAGGGCGACCCCCCACTAGAAGGAGTGACGACCTGGTAAGACATGCAGGAAGTCGATGGATACAAGTGGCTCAGGACCGTTCTTTGTGGACTTGTGAAGGGCTGTAATGATGATGATGATAACGAGACAAACTCTGACTTAATGAATAACCTAAGTTTACGGTAAATCTTTAAAATAGAACTGAACAATGGATTCACAATCAAGTAAGAAAAATAGTAAAGAGTGTACGCCGACAAACTTCTTGACAAGAAAAAAATTCCTAATCAATATATTTTCTGCTATTTATGAATACTAGTTTTGATGTAATTTATGTACATGAAAGCTTATCGAAAGTCTTAGGTCGCCTCATAGGGGGGTATTTACTATAGTTGCCAAGCTTGGCAAGCAGGTTGGTAAACTCAGATTTATATTAATTTGAATTGTAATCAGGAATATGCTGTTATGCATGTCTTATTTCTATTTCCCTCTATCGTCACCTACGACGCCGAAAAGTCATTACATTACTATTTTGCATGCCTTAAGGACTGTAGTTCCTTAAGTACCTACGGACTGCTCCCAGCCATTCTCCCGCAAGATGGCACTGAAGTTTATTTGTGTTTTTGTCTAATTGGAAAATTATTAAGTCGTAGAAGTAGACTTTGCGGTTATCGGATATTACATTTTATTGGAATAGGTCATATCATTGCCTCAAAATCCACCCAATTCGACACAAAGTTTGATTATAGCATCTGTCATTGAATACAGTGTCGTTTACACACACAGACGTATCCCTACGTTTACGAAGCTAGAACACTAGATGGCGTGTACGTAAAAAAACAAAGTAAAGTAAAGTAAAGTTACAGCCTATATACGTCCCACTGCTGGGCTCCAGGCCTCCCCTCATTTCTGAGAGGGTTTTAGGGCAAGGAAGTGTCCGCCGCGCTGCCCAAATGCGTGTTGACGAACTTCACATGTCAACGAAATATTTTTTTTTCTTATTCCTCAGACATGCAGGTTTCCTCACGATGTTTTCCTTCACCGCCGAGCACGTGGTAAATCAGCACTTAAAATTGCAATTAACAATTTCATTGGTGCCGGCGGGGATCGAACCCGGGTTACTCGCGTTCTGTTATATTTACAGCGAGCGTTAACCACTGAGCTACCACGGCTCATTAAAAAAACAAGTAAAAAAAAACAAATAAAAAAACAAGTTTTTAATTTTTCTGTATGTGTAGATTGGGTAGGCAGAACTACAAAACGCTATGTACGATTGTTATAAAAATAAAAGTTATATTTGTTGGCGTAAACTATTTAATTGATTTATAACTTTGGGAAATAAATTATGTCAACATTGATTACAATATAACGCAGTTCTATTTTATTACATTACACTATTGAATTTTTTATCAAAACGGAAGTACCTATTTGAAGCAACATAATTATGCTGATACATGCCTATTCACGCAAAACTAATAGCACTGATGATTTGTAACCATAGATTTAGAATGTAAAAGGTTTGTAAGGTTTGTAACCATAGATTTAGAATATAAAAGATAAACTGAACAAAGACGCGCTGAAGGCGATACAAAAACAAAAATGCGCATGTGTGAGTGTCATTGTGATGTCAACATTACGAAATCATAGTAAAAATAAAGTCTAGGAGCCAGGTGCCGACGAGTCTAATGACCGCGATCTTAGAGAACCTTAGATAATTTAGATGCAAGCAAAGCCTACCGTGTGTGTAAGAAACTAACGCTCGCTGGACGGGAGGCCCACCGTCTCCATATATTTTGTACGAAGCGTCGCACACCGTCAGAAATTTGCCATAGTGAAAGTCCGGATTGCATAACAAAATTTTATTTAAAAAAAATAACGAATCAAAAATATAAGTTAAGAAGTAAAAATATTGCAAGTTCATTCCTTTAATACTTATTTTAGATGCCGTACACTAAAATTCATTGGCCCCTTAATATAACAGCTTTATTAAAATGGGTCCGTAAGGATTCTTTACCGAACTTTATCGATTTGATTTCATACTTTAATCGAAGGTCAAAGTATTTTTCAATAATACCTTTCATAAGGAGATATCTGTGATCGTCCAACGGGGCTTGATCTAAAACATGTTTCTTCAAAGAATGAAAGAGGTGTTGATTATTGCGCGGAACATGTAATACATTTTTGGCATAAGATAAGTCATCCATTATTTTATTCTTCATATTTTGTCTAAAATGACTTTCAGCACTACTACACAATGTGTCATCATTTGATGGGTATGCCAGATAACCATCGTCAGTTTTGGAATAATCTCTCTTTACAATTAATACATTGTGAAACATTTCTGAAGAACTTGCCGTCAAACTTTGAACACATATATCACACCTAATTTTTTTACTTAGTCGTCTTATAACGTAACCAGATATATATGAAACTATCATCACTGACATCTGAGATAAAGAAGCAGTATTATCCAAAAGCACCATATCTTCGTCACATTCTGTTTTATCGTTTTGGATAGGTTCCTTACCTTCCTGCAACAGCTCGTTGAAAATTTTATTATAATTTGATGAATTATTAATTCTATCAATTGC